TGAAAAGATCGCGATCTTTTAAGCGACTTTGGTGTCATATCAGATCTGGGAATTACTCAATGACTTGCGTATTGTTATGTCAGTTGTTACTGTTTGGCCGTTAGCTACTGTTGGTCGTCCCCATGAATATGATTAGCTTCGTGAATTTCAGTAATTGATAGACACATCCCTCATTTTCTGATCAGCAGTGTTGAAATGAGACTGTGACTCGCAGGCCAAGAGATAACCGATGATATCCTCAAGGCCATAAGCCTCATAGATGATGGTATCATGTGCGGTGCTGAGGCCTTCCCTGTATATCTCTATCACAATATTTACTTACCCCCTTGATAGACTTACTGATGAGGTTTATGATATTGTAGGCCAGAGAGAGTGTACTAATAGGGCCCATTGTGATAACTAGAGCTTAGCAAGAATATCATATAATAGAATAAATGAGGTGTAATGCCACGTTGAGAAGATAAATTGCGAGCACCAGGCCATGTGTCAGAATTCCGTACTTGAGATAGGCAATAGACACCTGTTGCTGCGTGAAGGTCTCTAAAACCACCTTCATGAGGGCTACCTTACTTTTTACAAGCAGTGTCTTTGTTCATGAATGCCCCATGACACCCTATTTCTGCAGTATGTTCAACATCTATAACACTAGCTTGCGCCTTCTTAACCAATAGGGCTATTTTTGTTCGTTTCTGAAACGAGTGATTGAATTTATCCTTGTTGCGTGAAAAGTCCCCCTGAACCAGCCCAAATCAATATTAGCAAACAAGTACGACTTACCTATGTCAATATCTGCTCTGATTGTAGAACCATACTCTGACATAATAGTTCTAGATTCGGCATCTGGTTGATAGTGCTAATGTTTCATACTACAACTATAGGGGTCGCGTTGGCGTTAATAGACCCCATCTGTTTAATTATCTTTTATGACTGATTAAATGAAACAGGCCACACGAGAGCAAGGGCGAGCAAGGGAGCGAAAGCGAGGCTTTTGAATATTTAGCCGCCTCTGGAAGTCATAGAAGGTTATTGCAATTCGAACACTCTTTCAAGCCCTTCAACACAAACACTTGCTTCATTTCACGTCTCGTAGGTGTTAACGTAGAGATCTTTTAGGTAACTCTGCAATCAATTAGGGTTCTCGGACGCGCTGTTATAATCACCCAGAATAAAAGACATATATTGAAATAGCCCTAGTAGACTTGCCTGCTTCCGGAACCACAGCTAAGGAGGTAAAATGACTTTTTCGTATACAAGGATAGGGAATCTCGCTTGATTAGATCAGGATCAGTTTGATTATACACGACGCAAATCAATTGACTGAAAAAAATGCAGTTCAACGAAGAACTATAGTGAAGAGCTAAGAGTTATTGATCGGATCGATACCATTTTCCCTGTCCAACCCCATAATTTTCATATGCAAACAGGCTCCCTTACTAGTTAATTGTAAAACAGCCACTCGCATTACTTCGACATATAGCCAGATATTAGCCCACATAGATATTAAACCCCCTTCGCGTAACAACAGAATCCATAGCGCCTTAACCAAGAGAATCTGATCAGCGCTCTTGAGGCTCTTCGCTTGTTCTGAGGCGACTGAAAACCCTCTGTTCGGGCGATGTGTGTCATGGGGTTTTGGTGATGGCATTACTTCTGTTGCGTTCCGGTATTGCTCTGGCAAGCTATTGAGCTACGCAAAGTTATTCATAATCTTGCTTGACAGGGTGTTGGTAAATATGTTGTTGAGCGCCAGGTAGTCTGCTACCGTCCACTAAATTTCCCATGCGTGGCTGTGTATCCATAGTGGCCTGTTGGGTTTCCGCATTCATTTGTATTTTAGACGGGATGTTCGGGGGAGACTGTGCCGTTCTGGACGATAAGACCCCAGCAAACCTTGACGTCTCGGGTGACAGATTCGAAGCAGTTTGATGAGTTTTGGACGCAGTGTTCCTGGTGGCTTGTTGTGCAGAAGATGAAAGATTTGTTACAGTCTCTTGAGTTTTCGCCGCAGCGTTCCCAACGGCTTGTTGCGCATTAGACGACATATCTGAAGCAGTACTATAAGGAATATGACGTCAGAGTTTGCTTTCAGTTATAATTTGATTTATTCTTCGAGTCAACATGGAGAAAACAAGGCATGGATCTACAACGACGGAAGCCAACAATGTTGGAATACATACTGTTGAGTATTTGACATGATATCTCCAGCAACCTGGCGTGTTTTATGCGTGAGATCCGCTGCCTTAGCTTTACCGTCTGAAGCAGCGCTCTCGGCATTAACGGCCGTTTTATGGACCAGCCCCTGAGCGCGAGATTTGGCATTCTGAGCTACTTCACGGCAACTAGATGAAAAAAGAAGAGGGATAATGTAGGCTGAGCTTAAGCCTAGCACTTCAAGGTTGAATGGAGAGAGAATCTTCATCAACCAGAACAAACTTGTGAAGCTGACGAAAGCCTATTTGTCTGTTAGCCTGACTTTTGATACAAACCAATTAGGTTGAAACTCACACCGAACGTTTTCCCTAAGTCTTCGCCGTATATGATTTTCTGGGCTTCAACTACAAGATACTGTACAAGATCGTGGATATCATTGAGTGTAGCGTTGAGAGTCGTCTCCGGAAACTCCTTATATTCAGGTCGCAGATGGGCAATGAAGTCTGATTTTGTCGAGCGGCTGACAAGGGAGGTGAAAGAGACCACTAGAAAATTGAACGTCAGTGTTTAATGTCTCGGTAGTTGTACAAAAATATAATTATTACATACCCCCGAGTGCGGTCGCACATATCTTCAAGAGCAGCTGGGTGCAACGCAAGTAATGCACTGCATATAGGAGCCCTAGAAGAACAAAATAGGACCCGAGTGTGCGAATAGGATCCTCCCACTGTAGAATAGATTAGCGCCGTAGATTCGAAGCTGCAACGTAATAGCATTCAACTCACAGAAATATACTTGTAGAGGCTGTCGGAATGTGCTAAAACTTGGTCAAAAAGCTGTCGAAAATGCCAGTTCGGGTATCGTACCAATGACCTTTTTCAGAGGTCCTTCTTCCGCTGGCTCAGGCTCTGGGGCCTGATGGTCATTTGAATGTAACTTCTGATCCATTGATTCCTTGATAGCTGCGGCAACTAAACATACAGAATGTGAGCTGAAGCGGCATGTACTTCACAAACTTGAATGTTCCCACCTTCGTAAGGATCTTGTTGTTGAGAAGACCCGTTAGCCAGAACGGGCTTGACCACATAAGCCGCAACACTCATGATTGCTATTCGAATTAGCGAGTATTGAAGAGGAAAGGATTGGTTTTGAGAGTCGAATTGTGATTGAAATTAATAAACTATGAAGGCCAAGCTTTCGTGTCTACCTTCAAAATATCAAAAGTAAAATAGCTCACTGGTAATGCTAATAGGCAGATTGCCAGTATATCTAACCGGCGAGACAATTGGTGCGAAGCAAATGACATCTATTTGTGTCAACAAAAACTCGTCATACCGGAGCATAAGCTGCGCGGCATTGGCGTTATAGTCTTCATATATTGTGTCACTGTTACGGTTTATGGATTACAGGCACGTAATTGGCTGGGAATAAACTCCGTTGATAATCGTTCGCTAGTTATCCGACCACCATTAGGTCGTTAGCATTTTGAAACCGGAGTCGTCTGTGGGTGACGGCATTCTATAGCCATGCAAGCCATGGTAATATGTTGGTTCAGTTGGAGAAATGTTCCTAAGCTAAATTTACCCCTGTTCTGGAGCAGTCGAGGCATCATCATTATGCTGATCGCGATCCGCCACTAGTGTGCATGCTCAGTCGCTCGCGAGGAACACCCTAACACGGGCCGTGCCGAATTGAAAAATTGTAAAAAATTGAATAAATGCAGCAACATTATACCGCGAATGCTTTGATGATGAAAGGAATTAGAACCTGTTTATTCCTGACGCGGCTGAATGACCATCAGAATGAGAAATATACCACCAATGCCACCCATGTTCTGCCGATAACGTTCGAATTGTTTCAATTGCCATGATTGCTGGTAGTCAATTCCATGTGACGCCGGCTTGAGTAAGAAGACGAAGGCTGTCAGCGTCTTCGATGACCATGTTAGACTTTCTACATTCGAACCAGCATCATACCAAATATCACATGGTAAATCTCACGTTGTTCTTTTAGAGTCATCGCATGCGCAGCATCGCCAATGAGGATTGCACGCACTATGTTCGTGAATATCGCGCTCGCATAGAGATCTAAGTTCTTGGGGGAAGTTATGGCTAGTCTCAATATTTCTGTGCGAATATTGATGCACATTCGACTCACGAGAGATTATATTGTTCTCCGGAACCGAACTCTCCAACCCCCAAGCTCGACGAGCCGATAGCTACTGGAGGGTGGGTGCTGAGTGGCAATTCTTTATGTGCTGGACGGCAAAGAGATAAGTCGACTAAAAGGGAGAAGGGCTGATGAGGCCTAGTATTTCTCGTGAGACTCATGTTCCCAGGGTGAGAAAAACAGCCCGTTTCCATATTACGATGTACAACTTGTGTAGACTGCAGTATGAGTGGCAACAGCGTTGTTCTGTATAAAGCTAAGCAGGCTCTCATAATGCTATTTAACCCTAATGCTGCTGGTGGTCCTACCATGCAACAGAACTAGACAAATTTCCAACCAAAGTTCCTTAGAGGATCAAATCTACAATGACCAGGCGAATAATTTGCTAAGCCAGACTTCAACTATGAGTCTGACCTAATGATTTCCAGTGCTTGGGTACATCTATTACGGCCTGTACCCCGAAGCAAAGCGCGTGATTCTGAGGCTCCTCAGTAGCAGTTTGCCCAAGTAACGATAATGTACCTACCCTAAAGTGCAACATCTTCACAGCCAGAAAAATTTCATTATCAGTTTCGGGCCTGAAGATATAGAACAAGTTGTTTAACTGACCAGGTAGTTACGAAAGACCTGTGCCCCACATTCTATGCTGATATTCTGATAAAAATCTGACAATTACTCAATCTCGATTGGTCTAGTGGTCAGGATACCTGCTTGTCATTCATTGATTGAAAATCGTGGAATAAACCGCAGGTGGCCGGGGTTCGATTCCCCGATCGGGAGCGTTCTTACTTTGTTACTTTTAATCTTCGTTTTATTGCTTTTGACCTTCATTTTCTAGCTGAGTTAATCCTATTAAGGTAAGGGCTTTCCTCTCTTTACACCCTTTACTTTTAGGTCAGTGTGCGAGCCGCAACTAAATACTAAGTGACTACTGACGTTTTTGATTACCCTGTATGTATAGCGCTAATAGATGTTGATTTCTATGGCAAAGTATACCTACCTGCTTGCTCATGCTTGTTTCGCCAAAGATCTGAGATTTTTCTCTGCTTTATCTTTTCTTCGCATAGATAATAATCAATACGATTGACATGACATGCATTTGAGTTTAAACTAAGCTGGGAGGGCAATCTCGGTTTGTCATATTTGAACCTGTAAGTCTACCACGGAACTGAAGCTGCGGCACGAGACCACAACCGTACTATGAAGTAAGAATGTTACCGGGAGAGTCTTAATGTCTACTGTTGCTCATGGCTGAGACCTGATAAGGTCTTAGGCCAGCATGAATTATCGGGTCGATTTAGAGTAACTTTACGAATTGAAAACTTGGTTAGAAAGAAATTATTCTAAGTTTTTGAGAAACCGACCTTGAAAGCCGATATGACTTTATCAATAGCGCCACTAATCAATCACCGTGACACCTGCTCCGATAAGTATGACCTATGGGTTGACACTACTTAATAGAAGGAAGTGGTGCTGTGCTAATAGAAGCTTCTTCTATGACAAGAAACCTAAGATTTTATCTGTGAGTATAAAATAATAAGTCTATAATATAGCCCGCATTATTAATGAGAGCTGGGCTATTTGTATGAATTAATTACAAAGTTGACTTGACACCAATAGAGCCTAGAAATTCCTTGCGGACCTCCCCTGCCCTCGCGCCAACCGCGACCGCAGTTCGATTCCCTTGATCTACGGTCCATTTTATCGGTCCATCCGGCAGTTCTTCCATACCCATTAAGTCTTTCAAGCCGTCAACACGCGGCACCAGACCAACCTCGGCCTTTGACTGTCCACCGTACCGCTCTGGTATATGCTCGATATCTATACGTTTTAAGAGGGCAGTCAAAACATCCGCGGGGGGCAATATCACCAGTTTTTTCGCCGTATTCGGATCGACCCAACCCTTTATGAAAGCCCAAATCTTGGAGAAATACGGCGGTGCATTGACAACGTAGATCTTATCTACGACTTCTGGGTAGCACGTCGCTAACAGCCCCGTGAAACTCTGCGCATACCCCCGTAAATTCCACCCTTGTTTCAGACTTGCGTAAGTTATGTCGATGAGATACACCGCTTTGGAAACGGGCTGGACCGCCATCGCGGAACAGAGGGGCATCACAAAACGCGTTAGATAGTCGAGAGATGTAATGGCGCGGCATGTAACTTGGGACGGGGTGTAATTATGATACTTTGCAAAGTTTGGCCCGTCCACTGTGAAAGCTCATGTTAGTAATTATTATCATATTGGTGGTACTCTGCAAATATTATGACGAGCAGGACGACCTTCGAACATGATGCTAAAGTTGGCAGACGATTTTACACTCCAGGGTGTTGCTATAACATGCATGATACAGCTTGGAATCACTTACAGTTCGCTGCGTCAAGAATGCATATTGGGAGGCCGTCTTTGGTTCGATGACCCGACCAATGGGGATACTAGTAGTTTCGGCTGTCAGTTAGTGTTACTTTAAGGTTGGTGGTGGGGGTTGGGGGTTCAATGTTAAAACGACCGGAGTTAGTAGAAAAGGAAACTATGATCACGTACAATGCCACGTAAGTGCTCGAAGTCGTCGATATCAATGGTATTATATGCTTCGGCCGTATTTACGGAGCTTCGGATTGCATGGGCTTCTTTAAACTGTTGGAGCGCTCCGGGCACGTCGAATGCGCGAGCGCAAAGGAATCTCCTGGTGAGGAAATAATTAGTTTTTGGTCATGGTATAATGGTATGGCTCCCGTACAATAGGGTGACCTCATCATTTAAGCCATCTAGAGTATCCTCGGCTGACAAGCCGGTAGGACGCTGGAGGAGCCCGTGCTCACGACATTGTTCGATGAACGACTGAAAGCGTTTCTGCTCAATAGCCGTGAGCCCGGCGGTGGAGACGTCAAGCCCTCCGTTCTTCATCCCACTTGCTCTTGGCTCTCCGATGGTAGAGTCGGTAAGCTGTCCGTTTTCCATAACCCTCGGCCTTAGTTCACGGTATCCTGCCCGGCGGTTCGGATCCGTAAGATCGCAAAGATCTAGTCAAACCAACCAATAGAATCTGCTTACTGCCTGATATAGGCCAGGATATGACCCGCGCGGTTGGGTTTGGTAGCGGGATATGAACGCTGTCGCGGCAGAATACACGAGAGCTGACGGATCTAAAAGTCAGGCCAGCATTTATTGCGTCTAGCGTCTTCGGCGCTGCCTTTTAAGTATGTTTTTAGCCATGCCTCAACCATACTAGTAAGCGCCCACAAAGGCCGGGCCATCTTTGTAGATATGGAATTCTGATATCCGACTATGAAACTTGCCTTTTCAGGTAATTTTCTTTACTACCCCTATGAATGACTTCTGGTTCGGTGGCTTTTTGTAAGCGCTAACAAGGGTAAAAATGACCAATAAAAGCATGTAATCTCACAGGTACTTCCATTGCTACGCAATTTTGCCTGCGCTGGATGTCATAACAACAACTAGAGTTACAAATAGCCACAACACATTTATTACAAGCCATAAACGCCTCGACCTTTTGTAGGTTATCTGATGATGTACGAAGGTCAAACTCAAAATTGACCATTTAGCTTATAGTGCAAATAAAATAAGCTGCGTACGGTCTGGCGGCTCGGCGGGCAGTATTTCGGGCCGCTAACGGTCTGCAAAATAGTCGCATCAAAGTGAAAGCACTAAGTGCGCTATAGCTGTAGCAGGACTAGGGACCCTTGTCTAGGAATCTACAAGTGTAACGCTCTGCCAGCTCTCTTGGCGGTTCGGCAGCTTTAGAATTGCTACTGACTTGCACTGTATGCCAATGCTGAGTTTGACCTTCGTACCAATACTTAGACTTATTCCTTAATGCTTAATAATAAAGGGTTTACTTATAATCTCAATATCAAGATTCGATAGTTGTCTCTTCTGGTTCACCCTATCCAGTTTTCACTCGTTATTTCTGTAGCACACTTGATGCATTCCTTTCTTCGCAACCTGCTATTAGCAGGATATGTGCTAGTCAGCAATCCCATTGTACTGGCTAGCGATTCTGTGCAGTCCTCTTCCCGTTGTCGCTGTATTCGTGGAGATAAATGTTGGCCAGACCAAAAGCAATGGTCTCGTCTTAATTCAACAGTGAATGGACGATTGATCGCAGCGGCTCCTCTTGGTCTACTATGCCACGAGCCGAAGTATGACGAGGCAGCATGTGCTGTCTTGAAAGAGAATTGGGCACTACCTCAAACCCAGTAAGGAACCCTAACAGGGCATTAAATTCTCAATGTCCAACCTCCACGAAGGTCTAAGCTTATCGCGATAGCTATCCCAATCCCGTTGAGATAATGGATCCGTTAGCACAGAACAGGAGCTGTGACCCTTTCACACCGAGCTCAACTGCCTGTTCTCTCGGCAACTACGTTGATTATACGATCAACGCAAGCTCTGCTGCCGATATTGCCGCTGGACTTGAATTCGCTCAGAAAAATAATATCCGACTCGTGATCAAAAACACGGGCCATGAGTGAGTGTCTATCAAGACGATTCTGTTGTTAAGACTTCAATAGCGGCCTAACAGCACTGTTAGTTATCTCGCAAAGTCGACTGGCAAGGGCGCTCTAGGAATTTGGACTCATAACCTAAAGTCTTTCAGTGTTTTGAACTATACAAGCCCAAGCTATACCGGGCAAGCTGTTAAATTTGGAGGTATGTGAAATAATGGTCCTGTTGATATGCTTAGTGTATCCGGCCTATCTACGAAACATAGTCTAATACAATTTCGTAGCCGGAATCCAAGCTTTCGAGATTTATGCTGCCGCAGCTGCAGAAGGTCTTCGTGTTGTTGGTGGATGTTGAAACCAGGGACGGTAGTACACTCCAGCCACCTGTATTTAATGTATATAAGTACTACCAGTACCCTAAAGCCTCTAGCTCTTCTTCTTCTTCTTTTAATCATCCTAAATACATTACTGCTTACCTATATACTTGTATATGTCTCTACTCCTATTAACAGGTTATAAGCCCAGAATAGCTTACTTGTATCGTTTTTAATTAAAACGCTACTTATATATATTAATGTCGATATATTGCTTTTTTTTATAAGCTATTCTTCCGAATTAACGTATTTTTTATTTTAAAAATGTACTGCTTGTATTTTAAACCTAAGTTCGGTATTTTAACATTATAAACAAAAACATTGCTTAAATTTTAAACATCTATTAATAAAAACTCTAACTTAAACAAACAAAATTATTCCTTATTATATGTTTAAAAAAATAATAAACAAAATAGCTTTATATTTTTTTGCAAAATGCATTAAAACATATTAAAATACGCATTTTTTAATACTTATTATTTATATTTTTTAGTTTTAATTATTACGTTAAGCTAAATTAAAGAAAGTTTTTTTATTAGCTTTTTAAATTTTAGATTTTTAACTTCTTTTTTTAAGGTTTTTTTTCCTTTTTTATTATTATCTAATAACTGCAAAGTTATTAAATATATTTTTAAATATTAAATTAAATTTTTTTAAAACAAAGCTTTTTTTTTATTTATTATTTACTAAATTTCTTAATAAAGATAATTTTTTATACCTTGCTGCTAAATTAAGTTTTGTAGCACTTACCTTATTTTTAAATAATATTATTAAAAGTGATTTTTCTTTTTTAATTACTAAATTATTGCATAATCCTTTACTAAGTCTATAATTTGTATTTTTTTTTCTTTTAGTGCTAAACGACCTAGATCTTTTTAGTTATAAAGTTATTATTTCTTTAAAGCTTTTTTGTTTTTTTATTTTTAGTCCTTCTTT